TACTGCTACTGCTACTGCTACTCTGAGCAGCTACTACAGTAAGTCGCTATTCAACAATGTAGGCAGGTCATGTGCCAGTCGCTTTAGAGATCCCATTCGATGGAGAGGCACTCCTGTCGCAGCAAGCAGATGAAGTGAACCTGGAGTCGGCCTACGAGGTGCAGAAACTGAAGGACGAGCCTCATGCCTGAATTTTGTCGACATTACCTCTGGCAAACCCTGCGAATTAACCTAAGTGAGATTAAGACATGAAAATGCCCGTTGGAAGGCAGCTCCATGCTTGGCAAGCACAGATCACACAGATCATCTATTTGCACCACGCATCCACGAGACATGTCCAAGAGTTCACTTGAGGCATCCAATATTCAGACTGTTCATCAACAACGCGTTGTTGGAGTGCATGCCGAATTATCGTTGTGGCAGTTGGAAGAAGGTATGTGCACTACTGCTTGCGGGACTACCGGGAAGAGCTTGAAATCCTTGGTCGCAGAGACTTGAAACTGGATGCTGCAGGGCTGCATCTGCGAGACTCGAGATTTTGGATTTCGTTGATGTGACGGCAGCGGCAACTCTTGCTTAAATCTCGTACCACTGTACCGCGGTAAAGCCTTTCTCGTGCTGATCACAGTTGAAGATGTGGGGAGCTTGACTCGGTAAGCCCCATGAGCATCGCACCGATGGTGGCCAGGCTTTGCATGCATGGGGATTCTTGAGCAGCTACGTCAGCTACGTGGGTCGTTTCGTTCAGCCCTTGGCCCGACGGCCCTAAGCGGAACTTTAGCGGCCTGTGCACATGTATCCCGAGGCCCGTGGCGACCGTCGTTTGCAGATCTTGCGCGACAACGTGCCGCTTCAAATGCAGGCGAAGTGGTTCATGGAGGCTCGCGATTTGTCGGGTCGGGGGTTTGAGGCTTTGTGGGGCCAGAGTTTGATTGACTTCCGCCGGAGAAGGAGCGCAGGGCGCGACGTGATGATGCAATTGTGCTGACTCTCACTCATGACCTGTATTCGGGAAAGTGTACGTGCGATGGAATGAGACATGCAGGCACAGGCGCTCTGCCTGCATGCTATGGCTTGCTCTTTCTATGGCTGTGATCCAGTAGCTAAACACGGATGGATCAACCCTGTTGTTTCGTGCTTGCGTATTCCTGCCACATCTGTCTGTACTATTATGGTTGGCCTCATGGCATCCGGCTTGAAAGGCCCCAGGTTGGGTCATGTGCAGACTGGCGGGCTAGCGGCTGGCTTCTATAGCACGCGCAGCAAGCCAGAGAAAGAATTTTCCATTTTGCTGGAGGTGTGCAGCCCTGAGAACTTTGAACCTTTCCAGCGCTAGATTCTGCAAAGTTTTTACTTGAAGAGTAATGGCTGGAGTTTAACCAGTGCGGGAATCTGTAAGTTTTTGGCAATGTATCTTCGGTCCGCATATCATGTATAATTAGGAGTTCTCTATGCGTGGATTGGATCCTAGCTGCACGAGACACTCCAAGACCTTTGCTTGTTTCGGGGCATGGCGAAAAAACTTGGTGTTAGTACGCTAGAAGCCTGCAAGCTTCCTGGCCCTCCACCACAGCCTGCCAAGCCGTTCTAGGCCTCTCAAGATTGCCCAGAATGCAGGACCCCGCCAGCCTTAGCAGTTCGTGCCTGTTTCGGGGTGTTCAGCCCGAGAAAAGCGAAATGAGAGCGTTTGAACTTTGCCAGCTTCCATGCCGCGCACTTCGTGTACAAGCTCTTCGATTTTGCTCTGTTCATTGGGTTGCATGTGGGGTCATGACTTAGCAGGGTCTTAAGGTACGTGTACGACATTTCGGAAACACGCGCGGCTGTCAGTAGGTTCGTGCTGAATATCCGGCGCGACGTCTTCATCCGAACTCGGTTTTCGGAATAGGTACAACGCGGGGATTCGAGTCTTTGGCTGCGCCCTCGGCCGATCAGGTGGCAGAGCAGCTGGCCTCTGCACGATCAATGGCTTCAGGCTGGGCAGTTCCGGATTGGAATTTGCATAGCTGCATGCAGGCGTTCTCGCCTCTTTAAACGCTTTTGCTAAAGGCGTATTCGCCGAGCAGAGCGGCGCTTTTCTGACAGTGACCCCTTGAAAGTTTAATACCACCACGGGGTAACCTTGAGCACAGAACACAACGGTGGGAAACACTGAGTCCTGGAGACGTACCAACCTCCTCAACCACGAATCCGATAGTCTGGAAACCGGCTTAGAATCCGATCTCCGAGGCCAAGCTCCCAGTTGGCAAAAGAGAGCCCTACTCTACTGCGCATGCTGGCAGGAGGTCGGTCTACAGAACTTTCTCAGCGTTGCTTTGAGTTTCTTTACCCTGTCGTGTCACTAGCTGGTTTTTGGACATGACATGACATGACATGACGAGGGTTTCCCAGATGAGTATCATGGGCCATCAATTGGGACATGCATCTCAACACGAAAGGTGCGGGATGAACTCGCCGTGACATCTCTGCCTGGGATCTTTGTGAATCTTGCCCTTGTTGTTTGAACTCTGGCTGTGGCGAATGTATCAAACGATCGGACACTCCTCCGGCTTCGTCTTTACCGTTAGATCCGCTCACAGACCGGAGGGGCCTGGCCTCACTGATCAGAGTCTATCCTGATTGGAGGATGATTCCCAGATGGACGTCGCCGCAGAGTTAGAGAAGCGGAAACAAGAGGTGCAGGCAGGGCCGTACGGATTGAGGGCTCGGGTTTCCACCGCCGACTGACAGACAGGATGCTGGATGCTTCGCAGCAGATCGGTGCCAATCCACACGTTTCACACCCTCGTGGGAGAACACTGAACCCAGCAGCGGTGACACCCGCAGCGGTGAGAGGGCTAAATTCCCGCCGATTTCATAGACAGCTTCATGAGACAACAGCCCAGCAGGCGCTTCAGGACGTCGAAGTCCCAAAGAAGATGAATGTCTCTGTGCAAATTGCACATCTTCGTTCCGAAATCATCGGGAGCCAACAGGACCGCAGATCTTTTTGAGAAGTCTTGCAGGGCTTAAACAGCCCGGACGCATAGGATCTGCATGCTAAAGCGCGAAAGGTGGGATCCCATGCTGCGGACAGTGATTGGGGGAGAGAGGTTCCCTCGGTGTCAAGACTCGGCCAGGAGTCTATTTTGCTGGCTGAGCTGAACACGGTGGCAATGTTCGCGAGGTATGAACAGAAGGCCCATGCTCAAAAATACATCAAGCGATGCATGCCAATCCTCGAAGCGTAGCTATTTCAGCTCGGGAAACACGAGATGCGTTGGTGTGCTGCGTTGATTTTGGACATCAACGGGGAGATAGTCTTGAAGATGATTTTTAGCCAGATTGTTTTGAGCCCCCTGAAGGCGGCTGATGTTCTACTTAAATTTTAAAGCCTGCGGGCCCAGCCGCATTTATCGCGTCGGTTGTGAGGGTTCGTTTCTATCCTTTGCAGTGCTTGGCGGCCGAATGCTACAGCTTGCAGCACCTGAAATGCCACACGCAGATGCTCCATTTTGTTGTTGTCGTTTTTGTTGTTGTTGCGGGAAGCGCACTGCAAATTTCAGAGCGTCCTTTCCGGGCTTACAACCCGCAGCTTGTCGTTGATTGTGGCGCCGCGAGGTGGATTGGAAGAACATGCCGGCAGCAAATGTGGAGCTCTACTTGAAGTTGCAGAGGATTCGTCTCTCGGTTATGCCTAGTTGTCAATATTCTGACCCTGTATCCTGGCAACTACAGTCTGGATGCAGTGATCTCGTCTGGCTCCACGTCCATGTCGTGTCAACATGAGCACAGCACTTTGTGCTGTGAGACTGTTGCACAAACCTCCGTCAAGTCCTTCGCGAAGCTAGGCTCGCAGCTAAGGCGTGACACATGAGGATCTTGACATGCTAACCTTTGGAGACGGCAACGACGAGCCGGCGTGCCTGGGCAAGTTTCACTTCGAGACTTGACGGTTTGCATCGGAATATCTGTCTGCCTTCTGTGATGATCTGGTGGAGTGTCGTACTGGCCACCAAGTCGATATCGGCACCATGCTGCATTCGCAGATAACTGGCTGATTTGCTATTATTCCTGTGGATTGGAGCTGTCGAGGTTCCTCTTCGAGGTGGCAAACCGCATCTCCACTGCACTTCTGAGGTGGCAAATCTTGGAATCCCGATGCTCGCATCCTTCCGGGTTAAGTCGAGTCATGCCGAGTCGTGTCCAGGTCTTCAAGTAGACGGAGGCCGCCCCGCCACCCCTTCGTATCCGAATGCAATCGAAAGTGTCGCGCAGGCGTCCTACCTGACCATAGTTTACAGCACGAACTCCACATTGAAAAACAAACTCTTTCCCCTTCTCTCTGTGGGTATTTCTCTAGATGAGGGTCCCTTTTGTATGGGGGGGGGGGGGGTACTCAATTGGGGACCTAAGCAGGGACCCTAA